CTGGATTCCATAAAAATGCAATTCTGTTATGCACTTCCCCCCCTTTGATCATAATTCTTCTACAGAAACTTTGATGAGAGCATTCTGTAATGGTAACCAGCCACCATTCAGTTCTACTCTCATGGCAATGGAGGCAGTTGTTCATGGAGGCAATCAACTATGGATTTCACTTCCTCCTCCCATTCCTGACTCCTTCTTTCTCTGTTGCTCCAGACAAATAGAGACCAATTGTACCCTGGACGGCTACTTACAAGCTTTTATGACCCCAGGCACTATACAATGAAATAGGATATAGTATAGAAGCACTGGGGGTACAGTGGTTAAGAACTCAGGCTGCTTACCAAAAGGTCAGCAGTTCAAATCCACCAGCCACTCCTTGGAAACGCTATGCGGCAGTTCTACTCTGTCTTATAGGGTCACTATGAGTCAAAATCAACTTGAAGGCAATGGGTGTGGGTACAGAAGCATGGTATCAGTGACTGCTAAAGCAGTGTTGTTTGTACCCCACCCCAACAACCAAAAATGACCCTCCGTCTGTGGAATTAAGAAGTTACCATTTAATGGAAATGCCCTCAGGGTAGGCAAATAGGAAGCACTGCTCTTCCCACCCCCGTTGAGGCTTGTATTGGTGGTGATAAATTAATCCACAGTGACCAGCCACCATGAATGCTGACTGCTTTCTAACTATGTCATGAGAATGCAGCTCACTGTGGAGCCCTGGTGGCGCAGCAGTTAAGAGCTCACCTGCTAACCAAAAGGTCAGCAGTTCGAATCCACCAGCCACTCCTGGAAACCCTATGGGGCAGTTCTACTCTGTCCTATAGGGTCACTATGAGTTGGAATCAACTCAATGGTAACGAGTTTTTTTTTGTTTTTTTTTTGAGTAGCCTTTAAAAAGACTGCTTGGTGAAAATAATCTGAAAAACTCTTTGGGGCAGCAAAGAAAAGGAAGCTTTTATTCTTCCTGCCTTCTTGGTGGACTAGCAGAGTTTCATCCATCATCAGAAGAGGTTCCTTCAAGGGAAACTCTACTCACCATGGAACCAGGGAGCAATGGTGTCTGAGGTTTTCTGGTAGCCGGCTCGCAGGGGTAGCTGGTCCTCTTTAAACCATCGGATGATGTCCTCTTGGACAGAGCTGGAGGCCATCCGTGTCACTCCCTGGTTTCTGTTATTGGTAAAATGGTTTTTCAGTAAGATTTAACTAATTTGAAAACAATGCTTTCAAAAATCGTATTCTATCTATCATACATTTCAATACATGGGCTGAGCTAATGGGAGGTCAAACCCCTACAAAACACTATTACACAACTCCTCAAGGGTAGGAAATTGAAAGGAACTTAAATCTGTTATTTATCCTTCAAGTCCTACAGGGCTAGTCGTAAGTATGAGCCACTGCTGTGTTACACATAGATTTTAATTCATTTTTAGTACAAATTAGAAGCGCCATTAACTCCCAATTAAAATTTGAGAAAATAAGCATTAGAAGGTGGAATGCACCCCAGAAACATCCCAG